ATTACTGACAGTACCATTGTGATGTTATCGGTTAGCATAACACAGGTAACTCATGATATGATTTGCATCATGATACAGGTTTCACGATACGATACGTATCACGATACATGTACTTTCAAGAGAAACTTACCTAATAAGCTACACACTTAAACAATACTATACTAATCACGTGAATGCCTACAAATCAGTATCGCGGAATGTTTAGTTAACATTTGCTATTAAACTGCATATTGTCTTATGCTTCTTATGTTTTCTGATGAAACTACGCTATCAAATAACATAGATGTTATTAAGTAGTTCGAGTATCGATACATGTATTGTTGAGGTTTGTATCGTGATATCGTACCATCCATACTTTTGATAGTGACAATCCCTACTGAATACTATTGTAACACTATAGGTACAGATAACTTTTGTACACAAAAAAGATGAGTTATGAATGATATTGCACTAAAATGGATACAGTAAAGTCAAAGCACTAGTGAGGATTACTTTAAATATATTACAATTTTGCTATCAAAAATTGATAAACTTTAAAGATATAACCTAATGAATAAATAGTTAGCCATGATAGAAATACAACATAACGCAGATCCTAACTATTGGACCTATCAAAATAGTTGATGGCACTATTGCCAATTGTTATCGATATCAAATTTCACTATCAAACAATTGATTTCGCCGGCTGCCTTGTACAATATTGATAGATTAATATATCGTTACACCCCTAACAGTGACGACGGTTACTCTGGTTTTCAATCTTGTTGTTTGCATGGAAAATGCACGTCATAACGTTCTCAGTGAAAGTGACACAACAGCCATGCTAGCAAGTTGTATTCCGCGACCAACCGGAGTCGAAGTCTCACAGCTAGACGTGGTGACAAGTAGGTTTCTAACATTGCGAATATATGCATCGTTAGCTGGTGAATACTAAAGCCTGGGACACACCATTCGAATTTCGCTGCGATCATATCCGCAGCGAAATTCGCGGCGAAAATATTCGCACGCGCATGCGATAATTGAGCGGACACACCATGCGAATTTATCAAACATGTTTGATCGCTTCGAAATTAGGTGCGGCAAAATTCGCCCGCGTTTGAGCGGACACACCATGCGAATTCTGCGACGGTTTTACAATCCGCTGCGGTCGTGCGAATAAATTCGCATGGTGTGTCCTCCACTTATGGTTATACGTCAATGGTTAGGGTAACTAATGCTCATAGGGTCTATGTCCCCCAGGGTACTCCGGCAGTACCCTGGGGGACATAGACCCTCTCAGCATAACTAATGTCACACTCATCAGCGTTACTCTGCGGTCTCATGGTATTGGTTAGAAAATCGAGTGAAGCTCACCATATTTTTCCTTCGTGATGAATTGTTTGTACCACCTGGCGAAGCTCCGGCATTTCTCTCTGCTGATCCTGGCATCGTACTTATTGTTTGCTATCTTCGAGATGGCGGACTATTGGAAAAAACGATTGCTCACCACAACAGAATCAGCATTGTATTTCAGTGGGTTCTGTTACCACATGTACAAACTACATACATGCTACCATGAGCCTGCTACCTTCCTCATAGTGCCTACTTTGGCTCATAGGGTCTATGTCCCTCGGGGTACTGCTGGAACATACCCTTGGTACGGTCCGGTATACCGGAACGTACCCTGGTAACTATCTGATATGGTTAGGGTTAGGGAGTAGGCGTAGGCGACTCCCTAGACACGTTAGTGGAGTAGGCGAGGTACGGTCCGGCATATTAGATAGTACCAGGGTACGCTCCGGTATACCGGACCGTACCCAGGGTACGTTCCGGCAGTACCCTGGGGGACATAGACCCTCTCAGCCCTACTTTGTGCTCATGTGTTGCCTCATGGCCACTGACATTAAGCCTCTCAGTTTCACTTTGCCCATTTCTGGTATTCATCGGGTATCTAATATAACCAGACATATTTTTGCCTCACCGTAGTGATTGTACTGTCATTGTGGTAAGGGAACCTGCAACTATTCCTGGTTTAATAGGTAGGCACAGCCATGCATAACTCGACTAAATGCGTGTAGCCGGTTTTGCATTTTTACATTGTTATTCATTTGACACACGGAATCTCCATCACCATCATCCCACAAACACTCTCATCAGCAAGACTGGAACAAAAACCTATGATGATGCATGCATGTTAACATTTATAGCGATAATAAGTATGTGATTCAACTAAAACCCAGTGCAGAACACGCATTTACCGCCACCATTTCAGACAAAAGGAACACATGTGTTTAGTAGGTTAAAAACCCAACTATTTGTAGGATGTGAAATATACCATATATTACAGTCAAACACGACCTAAAATAGTTGGTATATGGCATAGGAGGTTATGGGTAAGTGTACAGTGTATATTTCAAGAATTGTAAATACTAGTACATCTTTAGGGAACATCAGGTGAACTGCAGTGGCTCCAAGGGTGCCATTGAGATGTCCCCAGGGGCGGATCCAGAGGGTTTGGGTGACCAGTTTCCATAGTTCTAGTCACAGCTAGGGGGGTCCGGGGGCGAGCCCCCCGGGGAATTAAAAAAAAATTAGGCTATATTTGGTGCATTCTGGTGAATTTTAAGGGTCAATTCTGAAGATACCCAGGCTGTGACCGGTTTCTGGAAACCGGTGCAAACGGCCTAAATCCACGCCTGGTCCCTGCATGTGAGATGTGGTACAGAAACATGGAAGCAAAATATACCGGTGTACTGGTCTTAATGAAACCAAGTAAGGCTCATAGGGTCTATGTCCCCCAGGGTACTGCCGGAACGTACCCTGGGTACGGTCCGGTATACAGGAACGTACCTTGGTAACTATCTAATAGGGTTAGGGTTAAGGTTAGGGAGTAGGCTTAGGCGACTCCCTAGACTCGTTAGTGGAGTAGGCGAGGTACGGTCTGGCACATTAGATAGTACCAGGGTACATTCCGGTATACCGGACCGTACCCAAGGCACGTTCCGGCAGTACCCTGGGGGACATAGGCCCTCTCAGCCTAAGCAAGTGTAGTTTGAACATACCTGCGCCAGCGGACTTATCTTGGCTAGTACAGGTTGATTGTACTCCTTAAGGAGATCTTTGACTGTGCGCTTCACCGTGGTCTCAGACCAATCATCTTCATCAGTGCAGTGACTACAAGACAAACGAAATCACATCTTTATTTAACGCGTACAGATATCGCCATGATTGTAAACCAAATACAAATTCAGCAATACAACTTCAGCAAAGCCGATATCATTGGCGAAAATTCTATAACAACATGGTTTTGTCCCCGAAAGTAGCGATTAAACAAGTAACAATTTTATTATATCACAGATCCCACTAAGATTCAATTCATTCAGTCAAATAATAACCTGCGGTGGCATTGGAGAAGGGAGGGCATTAGCACGGTGACTGACTTTCTGCAATGTGAGATAGCCATTGTATCACACTGTGAAGTCACTGGACGCTGCTGCCACCTACAAAGCCCAATGCATTATGGGAGATGTAATCCGATTGGCTAGTTGAACACTGTAGTAATGACACATGAACATGTATTCAAATAAGGTCTGGAACTACTTTTCAGTCTGCTTGCTCGTAATTGGTTGGTGGTGGCGCAGCAGTAGCAAGTTAGTAGAACAAAACCAGGCAATACATTAAGTACCTGCGTATTCGTGGTAAATGGTCGCAACCATACTGACCTCGGGAGTGTTATTTTCTGCTACCACAATTACAACGCTACGGTCACCTCATAGACGGGCGGCCATTTTTACAAAATTTCTGCCGATTTTATTTCGCACAATCGGACAAAATGTATTTCTGCTGAATGCTGAACATACTGCTACTACTGCGCCGCCCAGCCAATAACACGTGTCACTTATTAATGTATTATATATTTTTACAGGATATATCGCTCATGCAATTATAGCACTTTCTCATATACACACTTTAAACAATACGTGACATCACGTCACATAGCTTGCATCAAATATAATTCATTATGTTAGATATCGTCAAGCATATCTTAACTGACGTGTTTCCACATCATAATTAGACATAGAAAATCTAAGAAGCAGGTTAGGACGTTTATATATTTATTATTTTCAAAAAATACATTAACATTTCCACCATTTACAACAAAGGGGTAAGGCTTTGTTTTGACAAAACTACATTTATAAAATGTACCATTGCTTGACGATCCAACTTGACAAAATTTACAGCCATGTCAGACAGAAGAAGAGAAAAACACGACTACATACATGTAACAGGAGCTACTTATACAAACATTATTAACAACACCGTAGGGTAAAACTCATAGATAATGCATAATTCCTTTATCAGACGAGACGTACTATAAAGGCTTTATATATTTTCACAGTGTTCAATTAGGTAAACCTTTAGGTATTAGTCTATGACTTGTTCGTAAAGTTTTTTTTTGTAACAGATGACCTATCACAAAAAGCCACCGTTGAGATGTAAATGTGAATCACACACACATACTTGCTTTGATGCGCCGTGACTGTAAACATGTTTGGAAATTAGACATGCTCTGGAACTAACAGTTATATTTTCCCAGGGTACATAAAGTTAACATCACAAAACATTTTTCGTAATAAATCATTTAAAAATGTGAACCGTTTTCCTAATTTTATACACGGATAGAAACACCTCTCCCAATTTATATATTTATATATACACACACGTACGCACGCACGCACGCACGCACGCACGCACGCACGCACACACACACACACACACACACACACACACACACACATACACATACACACACACAATTATGCATGTATGATACATGATCACAATGCAACTTCCAATTTTAATTCCATCCTTTACCTGTTAACACGATTTAGAAATTGGGAAAACCAATTATATATTAACAATCATTATTATACAGCTCAGGTATGACCCACGGTCACAATACTGACTCAACATAAGTAAGCTGTGGATTTAATAAATATTTTTAGCAAGAAAAATGATTGGTCAATCAATAAAATATAACAATATGTCGCACGACTACACATATATGCATTTTGCAGCTACTAGAACCTAGGTAGATTAGATTCCTCAATGTAACAAACACATGTAAGTTTGTACACTTGCGACCACTTGTAATTATATGGACAACTACTAGACTATTAGAGATTGTCTGTGACATAAATGCAAGCACTCACACATGCCTGTACTGCTTTCACTATCCACAAACACGACTCCTCAATCGGACGGTTTAGCAGATGCTCAACTTCGGTGAATACTATACATGACCCACAGCTCACGATACCTTATGTATTTACAAGCCGAAAACCAATGTGACTAGCGGAAAAAAAAATTAAAACACCAAGACGCTGGATGGGGAGAACAAGGGATAGAGTGTACTTTGTGAGGGGAGAAGGGGAGGGGAAATAACCATTATGGTCACACGGACACCGAGACACATATATACGACGCCTAAACCTCATAACCACGAACGGCAACGCTCGTACGCCGGCGCAGCATACCACACATGCAGACAGACAGCTTCACAGTTCAGCACTGCTTCGATTTTGCCCCTTTGATCGATCTAACGTGCCCGTCACTGCTGCGGTGCTAGATGTGATTGTCTAGCGTACGACGAGATAGGGCCAAGAGTTGAAGACGTTCCGTAAACACCCCCCACCCCACCGCCCAGCGACCGTTTAAAGATCCTTCACGCGCCCGTGCCGCCGCCGACATGTGATGTCAGCGCCACCTAGTCGAGCGCGAGCATTTCTTTGCGCCGAGACACTCCCCCCTAACCGGGGCGACTGACCCAGCATCTCACTTGTGCCCCCTCCGTTTGAACGACAGCATCGGTTCCTCCTGGCCGCGACGGCGACGCCCCCTTAGTCGAGCGACAGCCTCAGCTTCTTGGCGCGTGCGCGCCGGTTCTTGAACCAGAACTGCACGTTCTTCGGCTCGAGCTTCGGGAAGCGCTGCCGGTACTCCATCGCGTTGAGCTCGCGCGTGAAGTGCTCGATCTCCTCGTGCGACGGGTGCGTCGCGATCGAGAACCACTGCTCGAGGCGCGGGATCTCCGTGATCGGGTCGATGAAGATGCGATTGCGCTTGCTGCGCCGCTCCTCGATGTGGTCGGGGATCTGGCCGTTGCGCACCATGTTGCGGATGACGAGCGAGGTAGGCATCGAGCGGTACGGCGAGCCGTAGTCCGCCTTGTAGAGCATGTTCACCGAGCTGCAGTTGACCATCGTCGGCAGGCCCTTGCCCGTGAACGAGCTGCCGAACGGCAAGCAGTGGCCCGCCGAGAACGCGCCAAAGTCGCGCTGCTGCTGCTGCTGTTGCGGCGACAGGGGTTTCTCGCGCGCGGGCGACCCCAGCCTTCCGCCGCCGCCGCCGCCGCCGCCGCCGCCGCCGCCCTTCTCCGCCGCGTCCGCGTCCGGCATTTCCGCATCGCGCGCTTCCTGCTTGACGGCCGGGGCGCCCTCTAGCGTCGTCTGGCACGCCTCAGTGAGCGTCGCCGCGCGAGCTGCGTCCGCGCCGCCGTCCTCGCTGTCGTCGTCGTCATCCTCCTCCTCCTCGTCCTCTTCCTCCTCCTCGTCCACCCGCCCGCCGTTGTACATCTCCTTGAAGCTGACAGGGGGCGCCGCCGCCGCGGAAACGCCGCCGCCGGCTTCGTCGTCGTCGTCGGCGACCGCGTTCTCCTTCGACGAGCCCTCGTCGTCGCTCGCACCGCGCTCGTCGACGATCATCTCCTTGTGCATCTCCTCGATCTTCATGTCGCCACCGCCGCCGCAGCCCACGCCGCCGCCGCCGCTGCCGTCGTCCGGCTCTCCCGTGGCTGTCACCGCCAGCGGGCCCCCCATGCCGCCGCCGCCGCCGCAGCCGTACATGCCGAGCGCGCGCTTGTATGCGGCGCGCGCGTTCTTGAACCAGTAGACAATGTTGTTGACGTCGAGCGGCTTGCGGCCGCGCCGCGACTCCAGCTCGTTCAGCTCGCGCACATACTGCTGGATCTGGTAGCGCGTCGGGTGCTGGTTGTGCGCGAACCAGCGGTGCAGCTTCGGCAGCTCAAACTCGGGGTCGAACGAGATGCGCATGCGCACCTTGCTCGAGACGGGCCGCGGCGTGAACTTGCTGAAGTCGATGCCGGCCGGCGGCTGCTGCTGCTGCTGCTGCTGCTGCGCGGATTTTCCGGCGGGCGTCGGCAGCGGCGGCGCGATGTCGCTCACCGACGACGCACTGTTTGTCCGACTCGGCAGTTCCATCTGCGCGGCGGCGGCAGCAGGGGGCGCCGGCGGGCGAAGCGATCGCAGCTGGTCATCGAACCACTTGTCGAATGCCTTCTTTGTGTCGTCGGCTACATCTGTGAGCCGATCTCCCTCGGATAATATGTCGAGGACATTCTGCAACAGACGCAAGAAGCGAAATACGGGTTAAATGTCATGTGTTACCACTTCACTGCAAATACACTCTAATAGTAATAACTAGGCACACACTCACACACACACACACACATGTGTATATATATATATATATATATGTGATAAATGGACTAGGGTGTTAAATTTTAATCAGCAAGCTTTCGAGAGTATCTCTCTTCATCAGGCTATCATTTTCATATCTACATGGGTGTCTGTGTTTTTACTTCTATGTATATATATATATATATATATATACATATATATATATCAATATTTTGACATTTTTTTTATTAAGAAACCTTAAGGCTTTACATACACGTGCATGGGTTTTAGCAAATGCTTGCACTTGTATGTTGCGATAAAACATCACAACGGCATCAGAAATGTAATATCACATGTTAGTATCATCGCCCGAGTGATTATAGGAAATCCTGCGCGCTGATTGGTCGAGACCTAGGTGATTATTTTTCGATAATCACCTCTAGGGTTTACATTGTAATGGCGCCAAAAATGGCGGCTAGATTTGTAAATGTTATGGAAGCCAAAATTGATAAATTTAAAGAAAATGCTGTCCCCAAAAGTACCAGATGTGACAAAATTTGGAGTTAAACTATTCAAAGGTAGGTAGTTAAATTCAAGCTTATTATTGGTTTTTGTTACTCTGATTTCCAACAGATTTCCAGAGTCTATATTACCCCAGTCGTACATGAACTAAAGAATACAATGCTTTAACGTTGATTCGAACGTGAAATTAGGAGTTTTGAGACTCCTAAGGGTAAATTCGGGGCTAAAGTCTGTTCAACATGGTTTGTTTACCGTTTTCCTAACGGTATATGTTAAGTTTGTTGGGGGCAAAATTTGCCGAAATGCAACAATTTGAGTTACCGCAAAATGGTTACCAACACTTGTTTACATCTAATTTCATGATTTACGTTTACGATTAAGATTTATTTTACAATTAAGGTTTACGTTTTCTTTCCTATAATCACTCGGGCAATGATACTAAAACAATTATCCCAATGCACAGGTAAATGCAAAACACGGGTAATATGTTAGCAAAACACATCAAAACGTTATGAAAATGTAAAGCACAAAAATAGAGCTAAAGAGATTGGAGAAAATTGCCCAAATCTGCATGAAAACAAGTTATATAGAGATACTCGTCTTTATAAGATATTGTAACATTGCCTGATGGAATCACTGTATGCGACATTAAGCACAATCACACCATGCAGACATGCACGCATGCACACACCACTATATACATATATATATATATATATATATATATATATATATATATATATACATATACATATATATGACATGTCGTAATGCTACGTGTGCTGCTAAGAATGTGCAACAGAAAATCAACACCGGCACATTGTGATCAAGCATCAAGGGGGCATAAATAAGCTCATATGCTACACAGAAATGCTTTCAAGCAAAGTATAGCTATTGGATTACAGTGGCTGTTATAGTGGATAAACAAGAGTGCCGCTTCGCAGCAACTGAGGTGATCTAATGCGGAGAAGACAACAAGATAAGGAGCAAGATAACACTTCAGTTATTCGACGCCGCGCCTGATTGTATGCAGTCGTCTGTCACGCCAATCCCACTCGATTAAAAAGACCTGCACCAGCCTGTGCGCGCAGCGTGTGACTTCACTAGCCGCTGGCCACTGACTCCGCACGTTATAGTGACTGTGCGATTTGCGGGCACCCTTGCGGGAGTCTGAGCAACAGTGGTGCATGGTCGCTGTATATCAGTTGCTGTCACTTTTTCCATTCACCATACCGTCTTCCCCTATTTGCAACTAGGGATCTCCTTCCTTCTCAACACTCGGATACAGCCTCCTCAGTCTGGCGAGAGGCAGCGGCCGCCCTTCCCCAACGATATCTACCATTTCTCAGCGTCCATTTATTGGTTTCTTCGTTACTGATCAGGCGAAAATGCGGTGAAAGATCTGTCTATCTAAGAACGTGTCTACTTCAGCTGGATTAATGTATGACTACACTTAATTTTATCCATTTTGGCGAACAAAGGCAAAAACTATGCATTATGTGTCAGCGTAAGAGCTTTCAAATGATAAGCAGCGTATCAGGTAATCTGATCTGCTGGCGTAAGAATAGCCGAACTGCAATTCTGCTGCCTCCAACCCATCAGCGTGATATTAGCATGCATGCGATACGTATTGTTATTCATGTCAGTCATGCTACCCGTGCTTGGCACAATGTGGCTAATGCAAGGCGTCCAATCACTGCGAGCTGATCATGTACACTCGCTGTGCGTCAACAATGACAGCCGATGATTACGGAATACACGGCGCGATAATACATCATTAAAACCCCGTACAAAAATTTCTACGTCGCAATACGCGAAAGAATAACCGCTCCTCCTCCATATCTTTTCCTCCCTCGCATTTCCTTTCTGCCGTCTACCCAATGTAACCTAATAATCTACAAAGAAAGCATCTCCGCAAATCTTTTTGCGCGCGCCACGCGGACAAACCATATTTGCTAGGCTGGCGATCGCATCCAGATTTGGAAATTTCCCGAAGAAAAAATGAAAACCATATATTTATGGGGAGGGGGCTTAATCATCTGCCCCGGCGCAATTCGCCACGATAAAGCCCCCTGCCTAGATTCCCAGGGGAGAGATTAGAGTAATCCTCGCTGGAAATGAACGTGGAATTAGGCTTATATTGCGCACCCTAATCCCAACTAATGGATTTCTGACAGCGGAGATTTAGCGACTGGCCACGCGGCCCCCGCCGGGGATGATTACCCTTCTGCTTTTTTTCCACGAGACGAGAAGATCAAAGACAACTTTCTGTGCCGTCCGGCAAGGCGAGATGAGACTCGTGAGTCATGAGACTCGAGCGAGTCACGAAGTCTGCGTCTCGAGCGAGGCGCACCTACGCAGTCGCGAGACCACCGTCATGGGTCTCCCCTCCCACCGAGACGTGAGACTCGGTCGAGTCGATGCGACGATCGACCGAGACGATGCGGCGCATGGCCGAGACGATGCGGCGCATGGCCGAGACGATGCGACGCATGGCCGAGGCCTCAAAACAAGAACCGACGGACTCGCGATCGCATCGGTGAGCGGAGACAGGACGAATCGTCGCACTCGCATCTCGCCTCCTCCGCGACGAGGGAGCGACGCGGCCAATGGCCGTGCGGCGACGGCGCGCAAGACTCCGGACAATCAGCTAAATTGCACGCGGCAGACGGCGGCCGCGTGGAGACCGGGGATTAGCAAACGCTCAGGCATCCGCAGCGAGCATGGCAATGAGCCAGGTGCGCACAAACACCGACACACACGCACGCACGCACGCACGCACGCACGCACGCAGTCGGCCGTAGTTTCTACGTCAGAGCTTTCGCGGTGCCGAGCCAGGGAAGGTCAGCCGCGACGCGTAGCACCTGAGGACAGACAACCTGACGCGCGCTCGAGTTGCGCGAGCGCCGAGCCGCGAGTGCACTCTCGGTAAACGAGATCACAAAACCAATAGGGGAGGCGAAATGGGATGATTTCAGGTTACATCGCGGCGGCTCTGCGCTGCATTATCTCGCAAATCCCCCACTGATGGGAAGAGGTGGCGGGGACGCCTGCTGTCGTCCGCGCGACCCACGGAGGGATTTCAGACTTATTTCGCCGTTAATCAATTTTTAACCATTAGAAGCCTTGCCGGGCATCGCGGAAGATTAAGCAGCCGATGAAAACGCAATAGGATTTCGTCCGCACATGCAAAAATAAGATAAAAGCTTTTGGAAAAATGGGGAAATGCCACAAACATCATTGGCTTAGTGCAAATCTGTGCGGCTGCTGAATTAATGGCGTAATATGGCATTAACGTAAGAAGGCTCCCCCATGCTTAAACCCTTCTAATGCGTTCTCAAGCTCGGCTTTGCTCTTGTGAAGAACGGCGCGTCTCAAACTTGTGCAAGGTTTCCTCATCCGTCGCATCATTAACTTGCCGCGCAGTTAGTTGGATGAAGTTTCGCCGCTATTAACGACAAATTTTTCGCAACATTTTAAGATGACAGATGCGCGCGGCGGCCGCCGCGCTGCGACGGCTATCCGCGATCAATCGTCGCTTCATCCCCGCGCGCCGCGCCGCTGCGCTCCACTATCTGCCGACGCGTGGCACTCCGGCCAGACGAATTATCGCGTTACCTATGCGCCGGCAAGCAAATCTCGCGGGGGGTTCGCGCACCGATCAGCGAATCGCGATACAAGACGTTTTCGCGACGCTTCAAAAGGCAGGCTCGGCGTCGCCCGCGCGGGTGGATGAGTTTCGCACGCGCTCCGCGCTCGCGCATACGTTCGCGGCAGGACTTCCCGCGGACAGGCGAGCGCCCCTTATCTTTCTCTCACGCGCGCGCGCGAAAACCCGTCGCAGCGATCGCTATTTGCAGGTGAATTTAAACCCGGTGGAAATTCGCAATGCAGCCCAAACATTCACCGCTCTTCAAAAAGCAGCTTTGCCTCCGTGATTCGACGCCTAATTCCTCTAAGAGCATATTCTCGACATAAATCAATGACATTTCGCCATCATTACTCACAGCGCGCGCATAATACTCCCGATAAGGTGTGACTCATCCCCGCCTTGGAAAAATCTCTCGACGCAACATCACAAAATCGCAAGGCATTCCTGCGGACATGAATGGTGTACTGCCCTCACGTGCGTCTACCAGTGCCAGCAAACATGCCACTGCAAGCAGAGTGGCTAACAAGAGACTGAGACACACTCTGCCCACTACCACTCACCTATTGCCTTCACACAGGAGCGGGGCGGGGCGAGGGGCGACTGGGGGAGACAAGGGTCGGACCTTTCCGCGGCATGCTTACCTTTTCTATAGGGCACCCGGCACTGATGAGCAGGCCCTGAGACTTGTGCAGCAGCAGTCTCAGCAGCTTGTTTTTCATGTCCTCTGCAAAGCTTGGCTTCGGCCGACTGCAATAAACAACAATCGTTAACTTGTCCGGGGCAGTTATTTTCAGCGTCCAGCGGAATGCGTGTCTCAGACGAGCGAGCGTCCCCCGACGTGCGTCCTCGACTCGGCCGCACTCTCCTCGACAGACGAGCGGTGGCGGCGGCCGGAGACGCACAGTGCCGCGTGTCCTGTCCGCTCGCCTCCGCACGTCGACACGCACTCGCCACCGATTCCCACGCAGGCGGCGGCGGCGGCGGCGTTCGTTACGTTGCCAGTGTTCTCCGGCGCATTTGTTATATACCACCGAGGGGCGGAGAGACAGAGAGAGCGCACTATTTTCCGCAAGCCCCCCACGCTCGACCCCCCCCCCCGAATCTCTCTCCGGGGGCACTTCTCCGGCCGACGTCTACTTTGTTCTTGGGCGTTGTCGGCGCGGGAGGGAACTTACGTCGCCGACACCCGCTCTAATCGTCGCGCCGAGAGAGAGGGAGGAGATAGAGAGTCCCGCTCGTCTCCCACACTGCTAGCACGAGCATCGATCCGGATTAACACACTCATCAATAAGTGCAATTTAACGCCGGTCCATACGCCCCTTGATTTTAATCGCTGCGCCACCGAAGGGTTGCTGCGTGTAGTTACAGTCTGTGCTTAGAACAGGAAAGATCCAAATTCCACGGTTACCAACCGATTATTGCCCATTATTTTGCTTATTAGACGATCTATCCGGATATTTACACACAAGGAAGTGTGGAACCCCGTAGGGGACGCTACGAAGACGCTACGAAATAAGTGCGCGTGCGTTTTACCGCAAATACCTGTTAGGTGATAACCATCACGTGCCGACACGCGCTCAAAACTTTCCGGACAAAACAGAAATGACGGCTCGTCGACTCAAAGCGAATCGCACGCGTCGACAATTTCGCGATCTGCGTTCATTCCCCGAATCGCATCTCCACACCACTAACACCGCGTCGTCTCTAACCATTGCCATGGCAGCTACCACGCCGACACCGACGCTGCTCACACCACACCGCCGCTGATACCGGTGTAGCGGCTCTCGCGCGTCTATTAGATATTATTAGATTGCGAGCGGGCCGCCGCGTGATTACGGTTCTCGCGCGCGAGATGAAAACATACGCTCGCATAGAAATCCCGCGACAGGATGCTATTGGCGTCGGCTAATTACCGTGTGCGGCCCCCCGTCTCCCTCCTCCTCCCTCACCGCACGATGGGAGTGACTGCTCGCTATGCCAACAATGCCCATGCCGACACGAGCGCGTTAATTTTCGGCTACGTACCGCGCGACGCGGCGAAGACACGCGATGAAGTATGTGTACGCGCACACACGTGCACGCACTCACTCGGTCGCGCGTGCGTTTATCTAATAACGTCTGATGTGTTTACACGGCGCCGTCTTGCTTTTAGGAAGCCGGCAAAGCTTTCAGGATTACCACGTACGACAGTTAATTTCGATAACACAGCTCGACGATCGCGCAGAACGAAAAACAATGGGCACCGGCAGCACCATCTTTACACATCCGTCCCTGTTATTCAGCAAAGACTTGCTCGGGATATAAATCAACTTTATTGAACACCCACGTCAATGACAAATAGCAGGCACTAGTGGCTGCCACGACGAGGTGCTTCGAAGTGTAAAAGAACCATCCCCCGGTGTATGATCAACTCAAAAGGACTAACATGACGAGCGAGTTGCCATCGTACGGCGCAGTATCATATATCACTAGCGCTTTCGTCGTAAGCTAACTTTATGATCGGTAACGAAACACGTTGAGAAGTAGAGAAAGATAATGCGTAATACGTCGAACACGTGTGCACACGACGAACCTCACCTTTGTCTTTGGCACAGACTCTGAGACACAGATCTTCACAGAGGCAGAAAACACTATTTACATGGTAAGCTATTCTGAAGCCTACCTTACATGAATGAACTATGTATGCTTATCGTTTTATAGTTGGGCCCAGTATTCTTGTGACGACCAAAGTCAGTGGAGAATCAGCGAAATTTCCAGCACGAGTACAATATGGTGTATGCCGCAACAAAAGTGCAATTTACCACGTTAATTATAACTCAGAGACTTGTTTGTATGTAATTATATATATATATACACCTATGCAAAATTAGTAGCTTAATAGCCTAGTATATCTGATGAAACATATACCACATATCACATTTATTGAAGTATTTATTAATGCAGCAGTATATAATCACCTCTACCTCACTCCCTCTCCCTTGCTTTCTCTCTCTCTCTCTCTCTCTCTCTCTCTCTCTCTCTCTCTCTCTCTCTCTCTCTCTCTCTCTCTTTCTC